AGGGAAAGAGGGAAGGAAGGAAAGAAGAAAGGAAGGGAGGGAGGGAGGGAGGGAGGGAGGAAGGGAGGAAGGAAGACAAAATATAACATTGAACACACGTTGTTTTTCAAACTGCACATATAACCCACATTTTGACTCAGGCCTCTGGGTCGAGGAGGTACACACACACACACACACACATCCCAGTCACTGTCCTAGGCTCTCCAGCCATGAGGTTTTCCGGCCCAGTCCCAACCCCGACCTAAGTCACCGGGTATCGGCCACCCATCGGCTGAGGTCCCTGAGCACCTGTTGGGAGGAAGACTGCTGCGAGGAGCGGGAAAGTCCTGCGTCCCTCCGCTCTTACCGCGGCAGGAACCACAGCCTCCCCGAACCTCACGGTGTGTGCGGATTTCGCTCAGGGGAAAGCGCTCCAACGCGCGGTACAAACGGAAGCCACTGACTGGTTGGGCGGCTGTGATGGGAGAGCTGCATCCTCCCATCGCGTCCAGCTTTTCATGCTGATGTTGGTGAGAAGAGGGTGGATAGCGGGGATTCTCAGGATGCGGACCTGGGGCCATTAAAGGCCGGGAGGTGGAGGCGTAAACCTGTGGCCACCCTGACCCCTGTCCTCGGTGGACCTCACCACCAGGCCGAGGAGACCCAGGCCTGGTCACCTGCTCCAAGGCCAGGCCCGGCGCGCGAACGAAGGAGGACCCCAGCAGCAGTCCCTCCCCGGCCCTTCTCTCCCCTACTTTCTCCTCATCTACCAGCTGCGTGAAGAGCACGCCCCCTCCCCAGTCCCCACCAATCAGCGTCCGGAGCGGCGCCCGAGGCGCCGGGGGGCTCTGGTCTGCAGCCAATGAGCGCCACGGCCCAAGGCGGCGCCTCGCCCGCCCCCTCCCGGAATGAAGGCCTCCCGACAGCTGGCGAAGCTGGCGCGGCGCGCGGGGCGCGGGAGCCGCGCGGGCCGGAGTGGAGCGCGCGCACAGCCCGCCCGCCTCCGCTCCGCCTCCGTCCGGGACGCGGGCGAGGTGGCCGGGGCGGGGGAGCGCAGGGGGCAGGGCCGCGGCGGCGAGGCCGGGGGGCGGGGAGGAGCGGGCCCGATAAAAGGCGGCGCGGCGGCCCCACCCCGCGGCAGGCCGGCGGGCAGGCTCGGCGTGTCCCTTCCGTCCGGCCCACGCCGGCGGCGGGGAGGCGGCGCGCGGCCCGCAGCCCGCCCATGGAGGCTTTCCCCTGGGCGCCCCGCTCGCCCCGCCGCGGCCGCGCCCCCCCGCCCATGGCGCTCGTGCCCAGCGCCCGCTACGTGAGCGCCCCGGGCCCGGCGCACCCGCAGCCCTTCAGCTCCTGGAACGACTACCTGGGGCTCGCCACGCTCATCACCAAAGCGGTGGACGGCGAGCCGCGCTTCGGTTGCGCCCGCGGTGGGAACGGCGGCAGCGGCTCCCCGCCCTCCTCCTCGTCCTGCTGCTCCCCCCACGCGGGGACTGGGCCTGGGGCGCTGGGGCCGGCGCTGGGGCCGCCCGACTACTACGAGGACGACGACGACGACGACAGCGACGACCCGGGGTCCCGGGGCCGCTACCTGGGGGGCGCGCTGGAGCTGCGCGCGTTGGAGCTGTGCGCGGGCCCCGCCGAGGCCGGGCTGCTGGAGGAGCGCTTCGCCGAGCTGAGCCCGTTCGCAGGTCGTGCCGCCGCCGTACTGCTGGGCTGCGCGCCTGCCGCGGCCGCCACTACTAGCGAGGCGACGCCGCGCGAGGAGCGGGCCCCGGCATGGGCGGCCGAGCCCCGGCTGCACGCGGCCTCCGGGGCGGCGGCCGCCCGGCTGCTGAAGCCGGAGCTGCAGGTGTGCGTATTCTGCCGCAACAACAAGGAGGCGATGGCGCTCTACACCACCCATATCCTCAAGGGCCCCGACGGGCGAGTGCTGTGCCCCGTGCTGCGCCGCTACACGTGTCCCCTGTGCGGCGCCAGCGGCGACAACGCGCACACCATCAAGTACTGCCCGCTCTCCAAAGTGCCGCCGCCGCCCGCCCGCCCGCCGCCCCGCAGCACCAGGGACGGCCCGCCTGGCAAGAAGCTGCGCTGAGGGCCCGGGCTCCCGGCCACCCAGGGTCGCCGCCGCCGCCCTTCGCACCACTAGGTCTGCGCACCATCTTGCCCCCGCCGTGGGGAGGCGTGCGGCTCAGCGGACTTTGGGACGTCGTCCTGGTGGTTTTTCAAAAGCAGCCGACCTTGTGGAGTACTTCCGTGCCGAGCAATTGGGACTAGACGGTGAAATCCCCATGTCTTCAGTTTCTAGTTTGCACATCCAGAACGGCGAAGGCTGGGTGTGTATTCCACTAACTGAAATACGGCAACTTAGAGGCGCTGTTTATTTACTGTGTACGTGGACCTATTTTAGATGCGCATCAGTATGAAATTGTCTCAATCTAATCTTGGATGTTTCATTTTATGAATGGAGGCACTTTACTAGGTCTAGAATATTTTTTTAAAAGCCTCTGAACTGAGCTTAAAACTGGCGATTTTATGAAATGTCGGCAAAATGACTATTTTATTGTTTGAAGCGAGTAATATTCTTAGTTGTCCTTAAAAAATCAGTTACTCTAATTCCAGGTGAAGCAAGTCGCTGGTAGCATCACCCTTATGAGAAGTGAAGGTTTTGTAAACTTTCCAGTATTAATTTGGGCGGGTATTCCCTCCTTGTGGCTTGTTTCTGTCCTAGATGGAGGTGTAAAATGCACAGTCTGTAGCAGGTAGAATACAGCTCCTTATCCTTTTATGTACCAGATATTACTGAACTAGCAACTAGCCTTTTCCACCTTTAAAAGTTGTGCCAAGTCATAATCATATTGTGTATAACTTGGAAATGGTGCTGTTTAAAAAAACTGTATTTATACAGTAACAGTATGAATTCATCAATCTCACCTGTAGCTTTTCTACTTGGCCTTTTCTCGACGCACTCACTTCCAGTTCTCTAAAAACGTTTGATATTAAGATCAAAGGGAAGAAGGGAAGACAGCAGTATTCACCCTAGATTGCTCAATTTCAGGGTTCCTAGTGGAGGAAAGCCCATTCCAGCTGTTGCCTCTTAAACAAGATGGATCTCTAGCTCTGAGCTATTCGTGTATTAACTCGTATTCAACAAGGTTCCACCGTGCGCTGCGTCTGACTTTAATATAGGCAGTGCTCAAACTAGAATAAGCACTAATTAAAGGAATTGTTGGGGGTCTTTCATGTTCCCACTCCTACTGGAAGACCCACGTCCATTTCCGGAACCCCACCAGTTCCCCATAAGCAAGACTAAACCTGATGGGCAAAAGTTTCTAACCCCTACTTTACCCTCCCACCCTCACTTTTAAATCCACCATACTGAATGCCACACTATGGAATGCAGCTACCTGCCAATCAAGACAATAGAAGGCAAAAAATAGAAGTGAATTAAGATGAACTCATCTGAAATACACAAATGCATCACTATCTGAAGATTCAAGCAAGAGATTTAGTCTACGTGTATAAGGCTCCCAGTAGGATTTAGCTAGGCTACTATTTAAGTTAGACTGCTTTCATAATAACAGCTAACTTCCTCCACAGCAAATTGGCTCAATCAGGAACCTTCATTTGAAGGTGTGTTAGAGGGTGAAGTAAATACCCAATAGCTGTCTTTCCGGTCAAAGAAAAGGTGCAGCATATCAAGAACTTGGGGGTGGGGGAAAACACTGTTTCTTAGCCGGGAAAGTAAAATAATCCAACGCTGCTAGTCTTAACCCCAGACCAGAGAACTGCTGATCTGATTGGGCCTAAATTAAGTAGCTTAATGAAACCCTGTAATTACTTGTTCTCCTTTCTTTTGCTAGAAAATACACCCGTTTAAATGAGCTTCGCTTTCTGGCTGAAGTTTCTAAGGCCAACATGAATCCTCTTACCTCTCCCACTGCTGCTGTTCTGCCTTTTCAAAAGGACCACCATAAACAGATCAGTGCATTCTCTAGGCCAAAAGGCCGAGATCAATTTAGCTCCTGTGTTATTTCTAGAGTCAAATTACAGACGGTTTCCAAAGGTCTTGGAGGCTTTGACATAGCCTGAATATATGGGAGTCACTGTGATGAGATGTGTCTAATGTTAATTTGATAGTCTGACACCGCTACTATTCTACCAGAACTAAGAACATACTGAGCTGGAACTTCCTGAGGGCAAGAGAGTATTGGAAAAGGTATCCAGAAGACCCTCTCGTCAACTAGTCAGGCAGCCACTATTCCTCTGTTTTTAAAGTACCCCATTTTCAGGCTGGGCGTGGTGGCTCATGCCTGTAATCCCAGCACTTCGGGAGGCGAGGCAGGTGGATCACAATGTCAGGAGACCAGCCTGGCCAACATGGCAAAGCCCTCTCTCTACTAAAAATACAAAAATTAGCCAGGTGTGGTGGTGGGCGCCTGTAATCCCAGCTACTTGGTAGGCTGAGGCAGGAGAATTGCTTGAACCCAGGAGGCGGAGGTTGCAGTGAGCCCAGATCGCGCCATTGCACTACAGCCTGGGCAACAGAGCGACTGTCTCCAAAAAAAAAAAGTACCCCATGTTCAGCTCCTGTGCCAAATTTGCCTGTTTTCCAGCTGACAATACTGGGAGTTAAAACACAGATTATTACTATAGTTAATTTTCTAGGGTTCTCTTATGAAAAGCATATGCAAGCAAACATCATTTAAAAATCCTTGGAACTCTATGAAACTTTCAACATTTTGCAAAATTACATTTAGAGAAACCCCATTTTTCAAAGTTTAAGAAATATACAAAGTAATTATGACAAAATTATCTTCATAAGAACATGCTGCATACTTGGCCAAGTACACAAAACAATACAGGGAATAGTCAAAAGGGCTTCTCTAACTGTAGAGGTACAGATTGTCTTAACCTGTTCTTTTCTGTACAGACTTAAATTTCTAGTGGCTTTTTTCTTTGTATTTTAATTTTCCTACAAAGTCCTTTTTGGAAGTTGCAGAATTATTAGCTTTGATGAGAACAACTTTTGTCATAGATTTGATTTATTAAACCAAAATTATACATATTAAAATTTTATCACAAATATATATGCTTCCAGACAAAGAAAAGTTTGTTAGTCCTGATTTTCTAATCGTAGCCACTCAAGCAACAGTCCTTTCACAGTACCCCATGTATTTCAATTAGACTTATAAAATTATAAATCTATGGTCAGTGTCTTTGGTTTAAAAAAAAAAAAAAAAGGCATTTCTTGACATAAAAACGTCCCACACATTATAGATGCCAACCACCTCCTGGTAGCCACTATGGACAACTAATGAGATGCAGAGTCTTTTTTGGACCGATGATGTCTCTACTATCGGATCTATCTGTATTAACAGCAATGTTACTCTCAGTGAAACTGCAGAAGCCACCAGGAACATGGAAGACCACCTAGCAGATCAGCGAGTAGGCTGCTTGTTCAGCTTTCCTTTAACACCTGTTGGTAACTACTAGTGGGAGTAGACAGAGTTGTACAGCCTGGGCAGTGGAAACCAAGAGCAGGATCGCAAGGTAACAGCATCAGACTCTTCTGCCCTCCTCTTGCACTTGGGTTCTGCTCCCAGGACAAAGAACTTGGGAGAACAGTACGGGAAACTGAGCAGAAAGAATGGGTTTCCTGACTAGCCTTAAAACCTAACCCTAACGTGGCCAACAGTAACTCATCTGAACAAATCTGATTAAATAAATTGTTGGGGCTTACCTGTGATGTCACACATACAGATCTACTCTCCAGGAAGCAAACTCTTAGCAGGTTACTGCCCCACTGATAATCACTGATCTGAAATTCTCTTGTTATGAAAGAAAAGTCCTTCTCCCCACAAAAGACCTTTAAAGACTTCTACATATTTGAAATACCAGATACTAAGAAAGGTGTTTAAAATGATTTCTGTCATTGGTAACATCAAACAAAAAAGGCTGTATCTGGTTAAGTTAAAAAGCATCAATACTCCCTCTTCTGGCCCTCCAGCTGTACCAATAGGAATTCTCACCACTACTCAGTAACAGAAATAAGAAGTGCCTACAGCCATGATGAATTTGTAACATTTTCTCAAATTAACTATGATTTTTCTAATTTCAGGTGAAAACCCAAGGTGGTACTTCAAACACGCACATGCACACACAAACTCAGAGGACAGCTTTACAAGGAAACTAAGGAATTTCTGCATTAACAAAGGAAGACATTTTAGGGGAGACATCCTAGCCACATATGCTTTCTTTGTTATATTTAGGTTCATATTCATTGATACTAAACAGAGACATTTAATGGCACTGATAAAAATTCAAGTAAAAAAACTCAACTGAAGATGCAAACTTACCATAAACAAAATACTATAACCACAAATCAACACTAAAACAAATTCTGTAAGTATTTTATTTATCACTGAAGAAAAAACACAGCAGCAAGTTCTGTGTTGGCTTCAATGAGACCAAATAGTTAATCTTTAACATAGCTACTACACTCCAAAATTGAAGTCAACACAGTCATTACTACAAATTACTTGTTGAAAGAATCTATCTTGAAGAGAAAGAAAATTAGGAAAGAATTTAAACGATTCCTCCAAACCATACATTTATAAATACTGTCATATTTAAAATGCTTGAAAGGCATGAATTCTCCATTAATGGAAAAGCAGTTTACTATTGGCAACAGAAAAAAACTCAGCGATAGTTTACCAAATGCTTTAAAATTTAAAAGCTATACTGTTTGGATTCACACTTGCGCAGTATTCTTCTTGTCATTACAACAACTGCAAATTGCTTTGTACCCACCTTCTCTCAAGTAAAATCTAAAGAAAACCCCACCGTATCCAATGTTTATAATGTTTACTTCAAGTGAATCTAAAAACTTTCTAAATTTAGTTTATGGTAAATACCTCAAAATACCTAAAATAGGTACATAACCACGTAAAAGTGTGAAAATTGTTTCAGATTCACTGCTTTAAAGGGTCTTCAAATATATTTTCTTTAACAGAACCTTACTTCATTCCAAATTAATATCAGATATTTCAAAATAAAAAAAAATATATCAGTTCTATACCAAGATAAAGGTGTTACTCAATACCTGAAAGTTCACATTTTAAATTTATTTTTTAGTTTTTCTTTTTTGTCAACAAATGATTGATGAAATAATGCAACACCCTTAAATTCCAGAAAATGGCATGGTTTTTCCAACCTCCTGTGGATATGGTGCATGATCAATCTATTATATAGGATTAATACAAGTTCATGCTTTTTGTGTTATGGTGAAACAACATTAAAGAATCCAATTTAGATTGGTTGAAGCACAAGTATAATAATCCTTGAATGTGATCAAACCTATTTAAGACACCAGTTTAAATCCATTATCTTGAGACTTAACGTCGTACTGTGGTCCATCCATCTTCATCAGTCTCATTTTTAGTACGACGAAGAGACTCCCTATCTTTTTCAGCTCTCCATGAGGCCTTCTCTTTTTCACCTTCTCTTTCTCGGTCTCGGTCTCTTTCTCGGTCTCTTGAAAGAGCTGGGGGAGGAACTCGACGAGGAGGGTCCCGCTCTTCTGCCCGGTCATCTTTCCTGTCATCAGCACGTCTCCAAGAACTTACTAGAAAGTTTAATTTAAAAAAAAAAAAAATTAAGTTAGTACTATATTCTTTTTTTTTTTTTTTTTTTTTTTTTTTGAGACGGAGTCTCGCTCTATTTTCACCCCCGAGGCTGGAGTGCAGTGCCGGATCTCAGCTCACTGGCAAGCACCGCCCCCGGTTTTACGCCATTCCCTGCCTAGCCGTCCCGAGAGCTGGGACCACAGGCACCGCCACGTCGCCCGCTAGATTTTTTTGTGTTTTAGTAGAGACAGGGTGGTTTTCAACCATGTTTCGCCAGGAATGGTCTCGATCTCCTGACCCTTTGTGATCCCCCCGCCCGCCTCGGCCTCCCAAAGTGCTGGGGATTAAGGCCTGGCCAACCGCGGCCCTCGGCCAAGTTTAGACTTATATCTACTATTGGCCACAAAGATTAACAGTCAGAAGAAAAGCTGTATCAAATTACTCAAAATTCCTTTGGTGACTAAAGGACCTGAACACATAACAAGAAATCATAATAAAGCTCCGTACAATTTCCTTACACAACCTTTAACATACAGATGTACAGGATAAAACTCGAAATTTGAAAACAAGGCAGCAAACCCTGGCCTGGGAAGGGGTGCAGCTGGTATAAACCCGTAAGACAAAGTAAAACATCTGGCTGAATGAAAAGTGATAACTGAAAGGATTTTTTGGCTCTTGAAGAATTTTTAACAGCAAATTAACCACATAAAATACAGGAGGTTTAAAGTTATGGCTATAACAGAAAAATTCCCTCGGCCGGGCGCGTGGCTCAAGCTGTAATCCCAGCAACTTTGGGAGGCCGAGACGGCGGGATCACGAGGTCAGGAAGATTCGAGACCAGCCCTGGCTAACACGGTAAAACCCCGTCTCTACCAAAAAATACAAAAACACTAGCGGGCGAGGTGGCGGGCGCCCTGTAGTCCCAGCTACTCGGGAGGCTGAGGCAGGAAATGGCGTAGACCCGGGAGGCGGAGCTTGCAGTGAGCTGAGATCCGGCCACTGCACTCCAGCCTGGGCGACAGAGCAAGACTCCGTCTCAAAAAAAAGAAGAAAAAAAAAGAAAATTCTCTCACTAACAGGATGTCAAGACATATGTGAAAAATTAAATTTTTAAAAACCAAGAGAAAAATTAGTATTTTAAAAATGAAAAATACATATATTTTAAGAAAGAAACTTCTGTTACAATTTCAGAGAAAATGTTTCTACTTTGTGCTTAATTTCTCAAGAAGTTGCTTTTAAATAACAATTTTTTTCATTTTTATTAAGTAAACTTTATATATATTGCCTACTATCCAATTTAGTCTACTACTGTACTTTGAATTTAGAGATAAGTGCACTTCACAACACGACCATTAACTGTATGAAAATCCTGAATTCTAAATGGAAAAAACATCAGCTCTCTTATTGTTGGCATTCATACAAGTTTACGATATAATTAAATAACCCAAATCCCCTCCAAGAAATGACGGTTCTCCAATACTTCAGTTGTATGTAACATCTATACCTTCTTCACGTTCTGATCTGAGCGGAGGTCCTCTTCGGTCCCTATCATCTCTTAGATCTCGTCTTTCTCTTAGATCACGCCGGTCATCCCTCTCACGGCGACGGTCATCCCTATCTCTATCATCCCGACGACTTGAGTCTCTCCAGCTTGAAGATTCCTCAGCTGGTCCTCTTCTCCAGCCACCTTCATCCCTGTAGCCATTTACAATGACAAGTCAGGTTCTTACTACTGTTAGACCAAATGGGATAATTATAAGTACATCCAATCCAAGCTGGGGCTTAGAGTTTACAAATGTAACAGGACAGTTTAAACTCATAACCTGACCTTACCTCATACCTGGGGCGTGGAGAACAAACGAGAACACTCAGATCTGTGCCATCCCACTCAGTAGCCACTACCCATATGTGGTTACTTAAATTTAAAGTAAAATGGAGATATTTCCTTAGGAGCACCAACCATATATTCTAAGTGTTTGGCAGCCAATTGTGACTGCTGACTACCATACTGGCCAACACAGACACAGACATTTTCTTCCTTGCAGAAAACTGTATTGAACACTGCTGGTCTACATTTATCAGTGCAAGGACACTTTGGCAGAGGGAACAAGCTAGAACTTCTACTACCAATAAAATCGAAGGGCTTTTGATAATTTAAGGGCAAAAAAACTGACTGCCCTAAACCACAGGTGGAAAAGCAATGGACTGACAAAGACAGCTGGACTGGTTCCACTGGCCAACAGTCACACAGCCTATAGACAGCCACGAAGTTTGAGCCTCCATTTCTTACTTTAAGAGGGAATGTTTGATTAGATAATCTATAAAAAAAATTTTTTTTTTTTTTTTTTGAGATGGAGTTTCACTCTTGTTGCCCAGGCTGGAGTACAATGGCACGATCTTGGCTCACAACCTCCGCCTCCCGGGTTCAAGCAACTCTCCTGCCTCTAAGGCCTGCATTATGATTCTGAGAGATAAGGGGGGTGCTGGGGAATAGCAAGGAACATCATTTCTGAAAACCAGTTTGAAATACACAGGCCGGTGTCTAAAACAATCCCAACTGCAGCTCTACAAACTTTTTTTTTTTTTTTTTTTGAGATGGAGTTTCGCTCTTGTCGCCCAGGCTGGAGTACAATGGCATGATCTCTGCTCACTGCAACCTCTGCCTCCTGGGTTCAAATGATTCTCCAGCCTCGGCCTCCTGAGTACCTGAGATTACAGGCGCACCACCACCAAATCTAGCTAATTTTTGTATTTTTAGTAGAGACAGGGTTTCACCATGTTGGCCAGGCTGCTCTCGAACTCCTGAACTCAGGTGATCCGCCCACCTCGGCCTTCCAAAGTGCTGTGATTATAGGCATGAGCCACCGAGCCCGGCCTCTACAAATAATTTAATTAGAACATCACACCTAGGTCTTCTGAAGCGATCCTCTCGATCCACATCTCTCTCTCTGTCCCTTTCTCTCTCGGGTTCCTTGTCATTCTCCTCTCGATCTTGATTATCTCTGTCCCTTTCTTTTTCTCTGTCCCATTCACGTTCTTCTGATGGCCTTGATTCTCGAGGTGGACCCCAGCTCTCCTCTCTGGCTTTTTCTTTCTCTCTCCATCCACCTATTTTTTTGAAAAAGCAAAACATTTTAAAAATATTTTTAAAAGAAGAAACAGATTGGCAATCATGAATAGACATTGGCATTAACTCATCATCATTCTAAATGCTACTTTAAGATACTGATTAAAAAAACACTAAAGCTATGTATATCACTGCACAGACATCATTAACAGTATTTTAAACTTACATAAGAAACTTAAAATGGGCCGGGCACGGTGGGGCTCACACCTGTAATTCCAGCACTTTGGGAGGCCAGGCCAGGTAGATCACTTAAGGTCAGGAATTCGAGACCAGCCTGGCCAACATGTTAATAACCCTGTCTCTACTACAAATACAATTAGCCAGGTGTGGTGGTGCGCCTGTACTCCTAGCTACTTGACTTGGGAGGCTGAGACACGAGAATCGCTTGAACCTGGGAGGCAGAGGTCGCAGTAAGCCAAGATAGTGCCACTGCACTCCAGCCTGGGTGACAGAGTGAGACTGGAAAAAAAAAAAAAAAAAAAAAAAAACCTTAAATGATCTGGCCTGAGTGCTCCATAAAACAAAAATATCACTAAAAATTTCATAATTTTTCCTATTGCACGCAGATTTCAGTATAGTATCTGTTGTGATGTTAAACAGATCACTCATTTAAGCAGAAAACTTCAAGAGTTTTCTCTGAGTCCCAATTTTAAGGTATTGATACCTTGCAACATTTTCAAGGCCTTCATATTCAAAAAAGAATCTTTCCTTTTACATTCCTATCCTCCACCATTTACCACCCACCATTATCTAGTCAATAATCATGAATAAATCCTTTAACCCTGTAGAGTGGCTCACACTTATCCATGGAATATATGAATCTAGGAACATTTCACATAGATTACATGGAGATACAAATTTGTTGGTGACCTCACTGTTTAAAATGGCTTCCAAGCGTAGTGCTAAAATGCTGTCTAGTGGCCAGGCGTGGTGGCTCATGCCTGTAATCTCAGGAATTTGGGAGGCCGAGGAGGGTGGATCCCTGGAGCCCAGGAGTTCAAGACCAGCCTGGGCAACATGGCAAAACCACATCTCTACAAAAAATACAAAAATTAGCTGGGCTTGGTGGTGTGCACCTATAGTCAGCTACTCAGGAAGCTGATGTGGTAGGAGCTCTTGAGCCCAGGAGGCAGAGGTTGCGGTGATCTGAGATCACACCACTGCACTCCATCCTGGGAGACAGAGTGAGACCCCGCCTCAAAAAAAGAAAAAACAAATGCTGTTTAGTGGCCCCAAGCACAAGGTGGCTAAGGAGAAAATACATGTATTAGATAAGCTTTGTTCATGAATGAGTTACAATGCTGCTGACCATGAATTCAATGGTAATGAGTCAACAACATATCAGAAATACGGGGTCTTTAAACACAAACACATAAAAGACATTTTATGTATTGACTAGTTGACAAAAATATCATGACTACAAGCTCACAGGAACCTAACCTTGTATTTCCCCTAGGAACAGGAGTTCAGTATTCATGGCAACTTTATAAAATATAATTAGCAAATCAGTAAGAATCTGCTACACTGTTACCCCATTTAACATGAGGCAAAGAAAAATTAAATGGCTTACACAAGGTAACAGCTGAACAGTGGAATGAAGTGAGACTAAAAGAGATGAAGTAGGCAACAGAAACAACTGGGGAAAGCAAGGAAGCAGCTCACTTAGATGTGCACTTAGAACAACTGCTCTAGTTATTTCCCCCACACCCAAAATTAAAACTGGGAGTAAGAGAGGAAGCAAAAACCAGTTAGGGGGTGAGGAAAACGATGCTGAGCCAGGACCAAGTACAAGCAATGGGAATGGAGAAGAGGGTGGATTTCAGGAACATTAAAAAGGCCGAACTGAACTAAATAAACATTTAACACAAAAGATGAAACAGAGACAAAACAACTCCCAGATTCGTAGCTCAGACAGTTAGATGGACAGTGATGCCCCTGAAGAGAATCAAGGGATGGGTGTTCATGAATTCATGGTCAACAGCATTGTAACTCATTCACGAACAAAGCTTATCTAATACATGTATTTTCTCCTTAGCCACCGTGTGCTTGGGGCCACTAAACAGCATTTGTTTTTCTCTTTTTGAGGCAGGGTCTCACTCTGTCTCCCAGGATGGAGTGCAGTGGCGTGATCTCAGATCACTACAACCTCTGTATGTGATGGTGATGAGTCCAGTTTTGGATAGGCTGTGTTTGACATTCAGTAAGACTACCAAGTGGAAATGCGCTATATGCAGTAAGCAGCTGTCACCTGTGTGCAGTACGCAGAAATTACCTAGAGAAAATTGGCCGGGGCAGTGGCTCACGCTGTAATCCCAGCACTTTGGGAGGCCAAGATGGGTGGATCACTTGAGGTCAGGAGTTCAAGAGCAACCTGGCTACCAAGGTGAAACCCCGTCTCTACTAAAAATACAAAAAATTAGCCAGGCGTGGTGACAGGTGCCTGTAATCCCAGCTACTCAGGAGGCTGAGGCAGGAAAATAGCATGAACCTGGGAGGTGGACCTTGCAGTGAGCCGAGATCACGCCACTGCACTGCAGCCTGGGTGACAGAGTGAGACTCCATCTCAAAAAAGGCACGTGTCTGTAGTCCCAGCTACTTGGGAAGCTGAAGCAGGAGAATTGCTTGAACCCAGGAGGCAGAGGTTGCAGTGAGCTGAGATCGCACAACTGCAGTCCAGTCTGGAAGACATCTCAAAAAAAACAAAAAAGAAAGAAAGAAAATGGTAATAGATGTGTGTCACAGACATGTATACAACTGCTCACAAATAATAAAGTGTTAAACAACAAGCAGGCCCAGGACTAAGAAAGAAAACGAGGCTGGGCGCAGTGCCTCACAGCTGTAATCCTAGCACTTCACTTTGCGAGGGAGAGGCAAAAGGATAATTGAGTCCAGGAGTTTGAGACCAGCCTGGGCAACATGGCAAAACCCTGTCTCTCCAAAAAAATAAAATGTTAGCAGGGTGTGGTGGCATGCGCCTGTAGTCCTAGCCACTCAGAAGGCTGAGGCGGGAGGCTCCCTAGAGTCAGGGAGGTCAAGGTTGCAATGAGCCATGATTGCACCACTGCACACCAACCTGTGCAACAGAGCAAGACCCTGTCTCAAAAAAAGTAAAGTAAAATGAGATCCTCCGTGCATATCTCTCATTTGGCAGAAATAAATATATAAAGTACACTTTGGTTTCCATTATTTATTTTTAAAAGGAGGCTAGTTCCCAGTAAAACCTGAAAAACACACCAATACTGACGGGATGAGTACAGGAAGAGCCTTGAAAGAAGCAGTCAACGAAGCAGAAGGAAAATAAACAGCACATCACAAAAGAAGAGAGAGGGGTTGGGTTATTTATGTTTTGGATGGTAGTATTCTGAAGGCAAACTTTTGACAGGTAAATCACTGCAAATGATACTGAAGATAAAAGACCAGTTTATCTGGAAAATAACAACATAGCCCTGACATTTATCTATCAGAACTTCACTTTTACAGGTGAACACTTAAGCATATTCTAGGAAATAGACTTTTACCTGGCTTGACTAATGGTCTCCAAGGACCAGGTCTTGAGTCATCACCCCGTCTGGGAAAGCGATCATCATCAGCACGTCTGGAAAGCCGATCATCATCCATGTTTCTCCAAGGGCCCCTGTCATCCTCTGCACCACGCCTGGGAATTCTATCTTCATCGGCATTTCTCCAAGGTCCTCGATCATCATCCAAACCTCGCCTGGGACCCCGGTCATCATCCATGCCTCGCCTGGGACCCCGGTCGTCATCCAACCCTCGCCTGGGACCCCGGTCGTCATCCAACCCTCGCCTGGGACCCCGGTCGTCGTCAGCATTACGCCAGGATGATCGCTCATCATCAGCGCCGCCTCGCCTCGGCCCCCGGTCATCATCCATCCCACGTCTTGGTCCTCTGTCCTCATCAGCTGTTCGCCAGCTTCCTCTGTCCTCATCCAGTCCTCGTCTAGGTGGTCTGTCATCATCCGCGTGACGCCAGCTTCCCCTGTCTTCATCAGCAATTCGTCTGGGAGGCCTGTCATCATCTGTGTTACGCCAAGAAGGCCGGTCATCGTCTGCCCCACGGCGAGAGAACCGATCTTCCTCAGGACCACGTCTAGGGCCTCTGTCATCATCCATGCCACGCCGGGGAACCCGATCATCATCTGGTCTAAGAGAGGACTCTCTCTCTTCATCATCGCCCAGACGCCGGGGCCGCTCTTCATCTCTTCTATGAGACCTGTCCTCATCTCGCCCTTCTCCACGTCTCCACTCCCTACACAGCAACAAGAACAATTAAAAATACATAAAATAAAAAAGCACACGATCCTTTGGGGATTTTTTTTTTTTTTTTGACGTGCTTTTTTAAAACTTTAGTATGGGCCGGGTGCAGTGGCTCATGCCTTTAATCCCAGGACTTTGGGAGGCAGAGGCAGGCAGATCACCTGAGGTCAGGAGTTCAAGACCAGCCTGGCCAACATGGCAAAACCCCATCTCTACTTAATTGTAAGACAAGTGGCTTGGCGCAGTCGCTCCCACCTGTAATCCCAGCACTTTGGAAGGCCAAGGCGGGAGGATTGCTTGAGCCCGGGAGCATGAGACTAGCCTGGGCAACATGGCAAAACCCCATCCCTATAAAAAAATAAAAATTGACCAGCCGTGGTGGCTCACGCCTATAATCCCAGCACTTTGGGAGGCCGAGGCAGGCAGATTACTTGAGGTCAGGAGTTCAAGACCAGCCTAGCCAACATGGTGAAACCTCGGGTCTACTAAAAATGCAAAAATTAGCCAGGCGTGGTGGTGCATGTCTGTAATCCCAGCTACTTGGGAGGCACAAGAATTGCTTGAACCCAGGAGGCAGAGGCAGTGAGCCGAGATCCCGCTACTGCAGTCCAGCCTGGGTGACAGAGCAAGATTCTGTCTCAAAAACAAAGAAACAAACAAAATTAACCAGGCATGGTGGAGCACACCTGTGGTCCCAGCTACTCAGGAGGCTGAGGCAGGAGGATCGATCACCTAAGCCCAGGGAGGTTGAGGCTGTAGTGAGCCGAGATTGCGCCAATGCACTCCAGAGTGAGACACCATCTCAAAACAACAACAACAACAAAGAAACAAGCCAAGTGCAGTGGCTCAAGCCTGTAATCCCAGCAATCTGGGAGGCTGAGACAGGCAGATCACTTGAGGTCGAGGTCAAAGCCAGCTTAGGCAACATGGCAAAACCCCATCTCTACTAAAAAATACAAAAAGTAGCCAGGTATGGTGGCACACACCTGTAATCCCAGCTATTCGAGAGGCTGAGGCACTTGAACACAGGAGGCAGAGGATGCAGGGAGCCGAGATCGTGCCACTGCACCCCAGCCCGGGCAGCAGACCCAAAAAAACAAAAACCAAACCCACACACAATCAGACATGCACACAATTCTTCATGGCTCTCCTTTCCCTGCCTCTACAAAATGAACCAAATTTTAAAATCACCAATAAAATATTAACAAGAGGCGGGGCACGGTGGCCCATGCCTGTAATCCCAGCACCCTGGGAGGCCGAGGTAGGCGGATCACAAGGTCAGGAGATCGAGGCCATCCTGGCTAACATGATGAAACCCCGTCTCTACTAAAAATACAAAAAATTAGCCGGGCGTGGTGGCGGGCACCTACAGTCCCAGCTATTCAGGAGGCTGAGGCGGGAGAATGGTGAACCCGGGAGGCACAGCTTGCAGTGAGCCGAGACTGCACCACTGCACTCCAGCCTGGGCAACAGAGCGAGACTCCGTTTCAAAAAGAAAAGAAAAGAAAAAAGATATTAACAGGAACTGAGGAACTGGAGCAGCATTATTTTCCTCAACTCTACTTACTTCTCTGGCGGGCCTCTTCTCCACTCAGAATCTGCTTCAGGTCCTTTTCTCCAGGTGCCTTCTGAATCTCTATCTCCCCAACGAGAGTCCTCCATTGACAAAGTGAAAAAGAGGCATTATATTGGTAACTATTTACTATTACAACTACTGGTATTACCATTCAAATATTTTTTGTACTTATAACAATATGAAGCCCTTAAATAAGCAAGTTTTAAAATTTTATTTATTTTTTAATCTGAGATCAGACTGATGCTCCAGGGGAACTAGTAGTCTCATATATTGTGGGTGACCTTACAAACACCGCTGGAAACCAACCTGGGAACACACACCTCTACAGATTTCCTTCAACTAGAAATCCCCTTTGAAGAATGTGAAAAAAGCCCCATACCCTGAAATGGACATCACAGTGCCTACTAAGCAAAGAAAGGTGGAGACATTTTATTTAATGTCTAATGGGGGTGGTTAAATTAAAAGTACTTCTCTATTCAAAGTACTCTGATGGGTCAGATGCAGGGGTTCACACCTGTAATCCCAGCACTTTGGGAGGCTGAGGCAGGTGGATCACGAGGTAAGGAGATCAAGACCATCCTGGCTAACAGGGTGAAACCCTAACTCTACTAAAAATACAAAACATCAGCCGGGCATGGGCCAGGCGCAGTGGCTCACGCCTGTAATCCCAGCACTTTGGGAGGCCAAGGCGGGCGGATCACAAGGTCAGGACATTGAGACCATCCTGGCTAATATGGTGAAACCCCATCTCTACTAAAAAAATATAAAAAATGAGCCGGGCGTGGTGGCAGGCGCCTGTAGCCCCAGCTACTTGGGACGCTGAGGCAGGAGAATGGCATGAACCCGAGAGGGGGAGCTTGCAGTGAGCCAAAATCGCGCCAC